CTTTCTTTCTTTCTTTCTTTCTTTCTTTCTTTCTTTCTTTCTTTCTTTTTTTATTGAGATAGGCTCTTACTATGTAATCCAGGATGACCTTAGTATGTAACCCAGCTTGGCCTTGAACTCACAGTGATCCACCTGTCTCAGCCTCCCAAGTGTTAGCATTGAAGGCGTGCACCACCCTAGCTGTCTGAGAGCTTCTGTTTCTACACCTTCTTGCCAACATTTGTTACTGCCTGTCTGTATTTTAGCTATGTGAAATGTATAAAGAGGGATTTTGTTATGGTTTAATTTGCATTTTCCTCATGACTGTCCATTTGCATAGCTTAAGGAAAATGTTAATTCCTGTGTTCTAGTTATCTTTTTATTATGGACTTCTTGGTGAATATTTCCTCTCACTTTTCATGCCCCCTCCCACTGTGATGACCTTTGCTACATCCAATTTCTTTCTCTTTTATTGTTTCTGAAGACTTACAAGCACTTAGATCTTTTATTGATGCTCTGCTCTGATTTAGTTTACATAGTATGGGGAAATGGTTCAGTAGCGCTCTTTTCTATGTCGTGTCTGGTTGTCCTAGTATTTCTTACTGCATTGTGTTGCTAAGTCCTTGCCCCTTGATCTATCCCCATGATGGGAGCCAGAGTCTCACGGTGGCTGCTGAGGATGGAGAAGTAGCCGCCAGGCAGGAAGAAGGGAGAGACTTCCTTGACTATTGTATGGATCTGGGCATTTTCTACAAACTACTTGGAGCTCCTTTGATCTCATGAATGTAAATTGGAATTCTCATAGAGACATTTCCTTTAAGCTTGTACATTTTGACCTGAACTTGGTCTAATTATAAAGTTCTGTTTCTATGCTGCAGCGTCCAGAAGCACATACTGGGCCAGTAGAAGCTTTGGCTTCGGCTTAACTTTCATATAACTTACTCTTTTCCATGTGAGTTCCTGCTCCCTCCCTGCTTTTTTTTTTTTTTTGCCTTCCTTTCTTTCTTCTGTCATTTCCTTTCTTTGTGGGGAGGGCAAGGCCTCACCTTACAGCTTAGGGCTGTCTTGAACTTACAATCTCCCAGTTTCTGCCACTTGACTGCTTGGATTCAGGCATGTATCATCCCACCTATCTTTCCCTAGTTGTCTTCCTTTAAACTTGTTTTAATTAATTAACTAACTTGTTTAATTAGTTAGCCATTGAGCCATCTTTCCAGCCTCTTGCTGTGCTCTCTTGAATATACACATTAGATTCCATGGAGAGCTAGCCTCTTTCCACTGAACACATTATATATCTGAGTCCTCTACGCAGCATTTGCGTTTTCTCTTTCATACTGATATTTAAACTTTTTTAGATGATTTTTGGGGACATGCCAAGATCCTATAGACGGAAGAATGATTATCTGCTGGGTAAGTTGAGACCTATGACCTTTAGTATTATTTGTTTTTCCTTCCTAAACTTCCAATCACAGTTCTCTGTGAATCATTTAACGCTGGACATGTCTAGTTTTTCTACAGACAACCTTTGAACAATTGAAATCATTACAAAAAGCAAACACCTGGCTTTACTTTTGCTCCTTCCTTATCTCGCTGGGTAATGATGCAACCATTGGCTTAAGTATTGCTACAGAGTTCCCTATATAGGATGGCATGCAGTGGTCCAACACCTCTGCAGACCGGTAGGGCCAGTGCCAGTTTTTCTTGTTATAGTCCTGTTTCTGTTGCTGGGATAAAATGCCACAACCAAAAGAAGCTTGGGGGAGGAAAGAGCTTATTTTTGGCTTACACATCTCAATCATGGTCCATCATGAAGGGAAGTCGAGGCAGGAACCCGAAGGCAGGAACTGAAGCAGAGGCCATGGAGAATTGTTGTTTACTGGCTTGCTCTCTATAGCTTGCTCAGCCTGCTTCCTAATACAACCCGGGACCGCCTTCCCAGGGGTAGCACTCCCCACAGAGGGCTGAGCCCTCCCACATCAGTCATCAGCTCAGAAAATGCCCCCGAACACAGACCTGCCCTCTGGCCAATCTGGTAGGGGCATTTCCTCAGTCAAGGTTTTCTCTTCTCAAATGACTTAGTTTATTGACAAAAACCCTAACCAGCATACACATTAAGAGGGCTTCACACTTGGACATGCTGGTTCCCCCTTCACACAGCATCCACATAGTAGGGTCTAATATGTGCTATGTTCCTAATCAGGGTAGACTCAGGCATTTCCAGTCATGTGACTGACATCCAAGCCACTGTCTCTCAAGGTGTTTTAGTTGGGTGACAGAAGGGTTTTCATTTCCCTGCCCTATTCAATATTTTATTGGAAACAGCATCAGGTTCTGCTCTACCACTTAGAAGCCATTTTTTTCATGGTTTTGATGAGTTTTCCCATTGGCGTCAGTGTCAGTAAAACTCTGCTGCCGTGCGCTGCTCCTGTTTATGGAGCGTATTCGCAGGCTCAGCTCTGCAGTTCCATCACTCTCTGCAAGTGAGGGGGGTGGGGTCTGGCCTGATGGCTGTCAATGTCTTACAGGTTTTTTTACCGATGAATTCAGGAATGAACGATTCCAGGACCGGTCACTTGGTAAGTGGTCTGTTTCCTTCTCTAAGATCTCCCTAGAAACTTTGCTCATCAGGAGGGCCACACTGAAGCCATTGCACAAAGAATGGACAGACCCTGAAATAGGAAATGATTTCCACAAATGAGAACACTAATGTATGAACTTGCTTGGTAAACCGTGAGAAGGTGACTTTGAGGCCCTAGCTCCCATAGAAGATACCAGAAATGAAATGTTAAGTCAACTTGGGAAGTCACCACTGGCCTTTCTTCTTGTCCCACCCGTAACATTTTCTGGGTCGCCTTCCCTATGACTATCTCCCTCCTTTCCCAGACCTGATCAGACTTCTTGGTAAATGGGAAAGGCTGGAGCTTTAATCCTTGTCCGTATGGTCAGTTTCCTTCTTCAGTCTTCTGGGTGCCTTTGTTAGCTCTGTATTAGATCCAGAGGAGCTGAGCATTGAAAACACTCGGTGTTAATTGGCAAAGGCGGAGTACATACCCCACCTTACTGCTTACCAGAGTTTCCCCCTTTGACTCTCACACCCAGGCTGTGGCTGCACTGTGTTCTCACCCTCCTTGGAGGCTCTGGTATGGCACTTCTCTCTATTTCTACAGATCTTTTCCCATTCAATGGTCCCCAAATCTCTGCAGGCAGGAGGGAAGAAGTTCCTTCTTAAGAGTGTCCCGTACATGTACACACTTACTCCCCATGTATATGTTAACTGAGTTATAGGGTCTCCTGTGTGGCTGTGCTCCCCTTGAAGAGTCAGGACTCCATCTCATCTATGTCATTAGGGTGGACTCTGTTGTCCCCAGTCATGTGACTAGCACAGGGGCCAGGACTTTGATCCTATCTGTCTAACAGGCCTGTGCATTCTCCACACTTCTTTCTAGCATTGTGAAATATATCCTGTGTCCAGAGCCCTGTTAGAATAAATGCCACTGATATCCACAGGTTAGGGAGCTCTGTCTTCCCTCCAATTGATGCCGAGTGCTAGAAATTCAACCGGAAACTTTAAAAGCCACCAGGGTTTGCCTCTTTGGGAGAACATGCATACACACACACACACACACACACACACACACACACACACACTGAGAGAGAGAGAGAGACAGAGGCAGAGAGAGACAGAGAGAATCATGACCACTGCTCAAGTGTTCTTTTGGACATTTCTTACAGAACTTCTTCAGAATCTATGGCCTATTCCTTGAATGCCTGCCATAGTAGGAACTGTTAGCTCTTGGGATCTGATTTTGGAAATGATCAAAAACAGAATATAAATCCGATGAATCAGATTGATAATCTATGTGTGGGCTTCACTACCAATTGCTATATACATACCAATGTATTCCCAAATTCAGCATCTCTGACAGCAAACCATGATTATCTTGTAGTTTCTGGGGTTAGGAACACACACACACACACACACACACACACACACACACACACACAAACACAAAGGGGGTGGTGTAGAGAGAAAACAAAGGATTAAAATATAGTACAGATGTAAACTCATGTGACCTGTCCTCTTGTGTGTGTGTCAGAAGGCATCTCGAAGCCAACACTTAACCACATTTGGGCCTTGGAGCATCACTAATGCAGATGTACAGCTGTCTCAGAGATGCCTTTGAACAGAACGATTTAATGGAATTCCGCAAATGTGTGTGACAAGCATGGGGTAGTTTCCACGGAGGGCTGAAAGAGAAATGTGACAGTTCCTGCCCTGGAGGGCTTGGAGCTAAGGCCGAGGGTGTCACGTGGGCTGATGAGTGAGAAGTCAGCTCTGGGTGTCACTGTGACATGAGGGGGCCCGAGGCTTGTTGAGGAAGGCGAGAGATGGGTGCCTTGAGTGTTCTGTGGGCAGTGAGATGGCTTCGGTTCTGCCTGGCTTGTTCTCAATAATTCATGCCTGACAGAGTCTTTGTTTCTCCCTTCCATCTTCAGAGAATGTGAGAAGGGAACGTCTTCCTGCACATAGAAGGTTCCAAAACTTCCGTCAAAGAGCAAGAGTAAACTCTGGCTTTGAGTGACATCCTGGAGGTAAGGGATGACACTCACACTGTGATCATTTAGAAGCAGAAGGAACTTGGCGTAAATGCCATGGCTTTGGAGGGCTCCAGCTCTCCTCCCCGTGCTCCTTAGTGTGACTTTCTGCTACCTTCTGTCTCCTCCAGCCATTGTGCTTCCATCTTGTGGGCCCCGTCTTTCCTATGTGGCATCTGTTGTTACTGACATGATCAAATTTCTCCACTTTACAAACCACAAAGAGAATAGCCCCTGCTTTACCGAGCCTCTCTTCCGTTATTTCCTTCCTGTCATTCTTCCTTCCCAAGAAGCTCCATAACATTTTTCATGGAATCCTCTTTGGTTTCTCTTTCTCTGTCATTTCAGCACTGCTGGCCATGTTTACTCTCTCAGCCCAGTTCTCTCTCTCTCTTCTGTAGATTACTCTTTCATCTCTTCCTCTTACTTGACCATCATTGCCATTGATGTGTAGGCTACCTTCAAAAGTGTCACACTCTCCCAAGATCTGGGTCCTATGTCAATGCCTGATGGAGGCATTGCCCAGGGTATACTGTGAGATCCAGAAGATCTGCTAGCCTCATTTCTTTTTAATGCCCTTTTACCCACCAAATTTTCCTAACTTAAAGATGTGGGAGCATCACTGAACATTCTTCTCTGTCCTTCCTCATCTCCTGGTGTCTGCGGGATGTTGGTTGTCTAGACACATCTATCTGACTTCAGCCTGCCCTCTCTTTCCCTCACTACTTACTGAACAGGCTGCATTCTGGCCCCAGGGTCTCAACCCACACTGCCTGCCTTGCCTGCTGGCCTTGGGTTTATCCGGAAAGATGAGGAGACCTTGATCTTCCACTGTTGCCCTCTGATGTTGACTTCCCTTGTGTGTTAAAGCAGAGACTCGGAGAAAAACAGAACAATGGCTTTTACATTCTCCCTTTGGGTGCTTTGGGGGATCTGTTGACGAATCCTGGTCTACTAAACTGCCACCCAGCATGGTGGAGTCTCTCACAATTACACATATTCTCAATCACCAGTCATGAGAGCAAGCAGAAAAAGGATTCTGAAAACTCACAAGTATCAAACGGACCCCATGAAGGATGCAGTTAAAAGGAAGCTTAAGATAACAATTTCAGAGGCTGGACAGATGGCTCAATGGTTAAAAGTGCTTGTTGCTCTTGCAGAGGACTTGGATTTGATTTCCAGAACCTACATGGTGGTTTGCAATCATGTGTAACTCCAGTTCCAGGGAATCCAGCCCCCTCTACTGACCTCTGTGGATACTGCACACATGTGTGGTATACACACATGCATACAGGCATTCATATATATAACATTAATAAATCCTAATAATTAAAATTAAATAAAAGGTTGGAATTACAAGTGTGGATTTGAGGGCAGCCATGTTTACAGGCACACACACACACACAAATTACTAACAAAGCCTTAGAATTCATGCACTTGACATTTTTAAAGAAAGCATTTACTTATTTTATGTGGATGAATGCTTGCCTGCATGTATGCATATGCACCATGTGTCTGCCTGGTACCTTCGGGTGCTGGGAACTGAACCTGGATTCCCTTCAAGAGCAACAAGTGCTCTTAACTGCTGGGCCATCTCTGCAGCTCTCTGCTCACTTCATATTGTGGACAACATCACACACTTCCAGACGTGACCTGAATTCCTTGATGGCTCACAGCAGCCTTACTGCTTTAGCCCCGCACTTCTGGCTTTGTCCTTCCCACACCCACCACACCCCTGAGCTCCCATGATGCCTAGGTTCAGTTCACAGCCCTGGAAGGTAGTTCACAACCATCTGTAACTCCAGTTCCCGGGGATCCAATACCCTCTTCTGGTCTCTGAGGGCACAAGGCACACACATTACGGTACACATACCTTCATACAGGGAGTTTCCTAAGCATTCATCCCGGGTCCCTGTAATCAGTCCATGACACCCGACATGTCGACGCTCAGTCGGTGTCTTTGGAGTGGGTGCTGGGGTCTTTCCTATCATGCTCTTGAGAGGCTTCTGCCTGAAAGGCAGCTAAGCATGGCATAATTAATCCTAACGACTTACAATTTGAAAGAAGTCAACTGATATTTTACTAAAATAGAGAGAAAATTCACTATGGATGAGAGATGCAAGAGGCAGATTTTCTTTTTCATCTAAAAATAAAAAAAAAAGGCTTCTTCTTGAGATCAAGAAACTATTCATCATGAAGAAAGAGACTCATCGAATTCTTTATATGCTTGCAAAAACTGCCCCAGTATATACCATCTGGAGCAAGGGCAGGAGGGTGAGGGTAGAATTGTCAGTGGGTCGGCTGTGCTTTGTTTACTAATGATACGATTACCTCTGGTGTGTATGCATGTGTGTGTCGCAATAGTTGCATCATCTTGCATCTGCAGAGGCATGAATCACCAAAACACATGTCATTAAATGCAGACTGAAGACCAAATGCAGCAGCCTTGGCCTGTGCATTGATTTTTTGCTAGTGTCCCAGTTACGTCCCTGGCCTCATGTGACCTTATTTAGCACGGCAGGTTTTGAAACAGTCCACCACTTTGCCTAGAGTCATAAAATAAAGCTAGTAGCAGTCACACAGTGGTTCTACTGAGGAGGCAGACCCAATGGGCTCTGGGCTACGCTGGCCTCTTCCTAGACCTGTGCCATGGCGTCTGACAGGCATCCAGTCCTGAGAGGAGGGCTCAGCACCTCCAAGGCTGTTTCTTTTTCTTTGCATTAAATGAACTCTTTGCTGGTGCCTTACCCAGCCATTCTTACTAGTTTAGTCTGATGGCTACTGAAGATATCCCTTAATGTCTATATAAAAGTATTTATAAAAATGTCCTTTATTCATTTCATTAGATACCCAGGATAGAACGAGTGGATGATTGACTATTAATGAGATTGCTATTTTAAAATTGTGAATCGCATTTCCCCCACTTTATCACGAGTCTGCCCCAGTCACTGGATTAAAATAGAAAGTGAGAAAATGTGTCTATAATTTAGTAAATATGGTTCTAGGCTGCTTTAAGGTTGCCAGGAACGATTTAATATGCGAGTATAGAGTGAAATGTACTATTTAATAAAAGAACCATGACGTTGTTTGTTAGCAGGACTCTAAAATAGGGAGTTTGGAAAACCAGGGCCCAATGCTCATGTTGAAAAGGGTCTACTTGAAAGTCCTACATTTTCTTAACCTTTGTAGCCGGGATGGTTCTGTCTTGTCAACTGTGGGGTGACCAGAAGGACATTTTCCTTTATGCTATCCTATGGCTGTCTGTAGGATTGTTGACGTGTACCCGAGAGCAGCGGCGGAGGCAGGTCTGATGGTTTCTCTCCATAAGCCAATAGATCTGTCCCATGATTTTTCCACTCATTCTTTCAGTCACTGTTGCTCAAATGTCCTCTTTGCACCCAGTCACTGCATCCAGGAAGTCCAGCACTCACAAGTATGCTTATTCCCTCTGCACCCATTGGCTATGTCTGTTATATAGTGATAGATCGTCTGTTTCTTAGAGAAGGGGGCAGGGTGCTCAGAGAGGTCCCACTCGCACACATGGTTGGAGTTTATCTTCTCATGTCTGCTTCCTACACCTATGTTTCTTTTTTTCCTTTGTGATACATCTATTCATGAAACTTCAATGGCTGAGATCCATTTATCACATGCTCAGAGGCCCTGGATGTGTTCTTACCAACTGGCCATAACTTTCCAAGTGCGAGCAGCGTACCTACCACCAAAAGCCAGGTGGAGGCACTGTTCCCCAACACCTGAGGAACCTTGGCCTCTTGGGTAGGGATTTCAACGTTCAGATTTCAGACTCACTAGTGAGAATGTCTTGTTATGATCTCCAGGACATACTGACTCACCAAAGGGAGTCACTCACAGAAGTGTGGGGGATGCCGCTAAGGCCCAAAAGGCAAGAATCTGATTCCTCTCCACTCTCCACTGCCCCTTGGTTCTCATTCCTGCACACTGCATCTCTTAACTATGGCTTTACAAGGTATTGTGAGCTCCCGTGATCTGCATGAATTAATGGTCTATACATGTGAGAACATGGAATTACTAAACAATTGTATCTATGAGAAACATGAGGTTAGGTGTCTCGAAGCTGTGTTCCTGGCATGTAACATTGTCCATGCATGTTTCTGATTAGATGCCTTATTGAATGTATTTCACTCATTCTCCTTTTTTTTTTAAAAAAAAAAAAACATTAAATGCATACCCAATGTGTTATAACCCAGGCTACAGAAGAGCACATTCAAGCAGAGGCTGGTGGTGCAGGGCAGCAATCGCAGCTACACAAGAGACTGAGGCAGGAGGATCACAAGTTCAAGACATTCCGGGGTTACAGAGAGAGTTCAGAGCCAGTCTGAGCAACTTTAGTGGGACTTTTCTCAGAATAAAAAATAACTATCAGAAAGACTATGGCTGTGGCTCAGAGGCGGAATGCTTGCATAGCATCTGAGAGACCAGGATTCAGTCACCCACACACAACATATTACACACACACACATACACACACCATATAACATATAGGTTTGCCTATAAAGTCTACCTCAGCCTTCTCGGACTTAGGATACTACACAGCTCTGCACTGGCAAGAAATTTTAAAGAGTAACTCATCAACACAAAGCTAAAACATGAGAAAAAAAATCCACAATATCAAATAAGCTTCAAGAAGGATGCTTGAATAGAACATGTGAATTGAGACCAAAAAGACTGGATGTTTCCTCGTTGGACCTCAGAGGGTAACACACGGGACAGGATGTCTCAAAGTTTGGGCCACTCTAAGCTTATACATGAGTGAACAAGAGACCATGAGAATTGAATTGGGGGTACAAGCAAATATTAGTGAGCAAGTGAACCCACAAGCAAAATCTGAGACTAAGGACTATGTAATGGTCCCTGTAGCTAGTGGCTCCTCTTGGCTCCTCTTGAATATCTCTTGCTCTCTGTCTCTTCCTACCCTCTTAATACTGCAGCCCATATCATCATCCATGAACCTCAGACACTCTCTCCTCACCCTGACGTCTCCCTTCTCCCTTGGGGCATCTACCTCATTCCACATTGAACCCCATGACTGGTTTGGATAGTGGTGACCATTCCTCTCCTGCAACCCCCTTGCTGCTGAGACTTTCTGCTTTCCCTGCCTCTCCTCGCTGGCCAGAACTCCCTGTTCTTCACGGAACACTCTTCTTCCTGCTCCTAAAATGATCACACTGCCTACGGTCTGGACCTCAGTCCTTCCTCCACTCGTTGCCTCCCCTTCTTGTGGTTCCAGGCATCCTTGATGCTTTGATGTGCTTGTCTGGGGCTGATCCATCCTTCTATGTTGAACTCTGGGCTTAGAAAGCAACAACATGCTACCCACTTCCGTTGATTATTCCACTGCAAATTCAAACCAAAATTCTTCCTTAGAGACCTGCTCTTCTCCCTCATCACCTTGGCTAGCATGCCAGAGACATGAAGTTCAGGGGTCTTCCCTTCCTCACCCAAGGTGTGGTGAGTTTGGCCAGCCCTTCCTCTACAATGCTTCCTGGCTCTGCCTCTCTCCCTGTTCTTTGCTCCTCTTCCTTTGTAGCTGAGTGTGTACTAAATCTTCCTGGTAGCTTTTTCCTGCTGCCCTCAAAGGCTCAGTCACTGAGGCCCCCTAACACAAGTTCAGAAGGGCCCTACTAGTCCAAGTACCATGGCATATGGACACAGCCCCCAGTAGTGTGGTCCTTGTCTGCATCCCTTCTTGGCATCCTAGTTTTCTCTGCGTCCTGCCTCATACAGAAGTCTCACACAGTGGGCAATTCTCACTGGACCCTGGGTTTCACCTCCATCCCCAGGCCCTGTCCATCCCACCAGAGGGTGCTTTGCTCTTCGTCCTCTCCAGGAGCTGATTGCCTTGGGTCTCTACAGTCAGGCATCTGAACCCTCAGTGACATCCACCTTCTCCTCTAGTTTATGACTTTAAATGTTTTAAGATGTCCATACTGTGTCTTTTTTTTTATCTTTATAGCCCTCAAAACATGTTTCATGCATTCTTGCTTACTGAGCAGATTAACTGATGGATGAATGAGTGGCTGGGTTTGGGAAAATTTGGTCTCCATTTTCTCTGATTACCACCAACTCTGGCCAGCTACAGCTTTGCCTGACTCCTCCCTCTCCCATTGACAGGCCAGTGCCTGGCTGGAACCTCTGCAAGGAGTCTCTCTGGTCCTTCCTGCTGAGAAATGAACTCCCTTTCTGAGGCTGTGCCCCATCCCCTGACCAGGCTACATCATCTTTCTGTGGTGTCTCTCACTCTGTCTTTGGCCAAAGCAGGATGTTTTGTGTGGCTGTTCAGGCCTTCTGTGTCATTTGGATCACTTTTAAAGCAATTCCCAAGAATCCCAGGCCAGGCCTCCAATGTAGAGATGCTGATGGTGGTCCAACCTGCCCCTTCTTCTCAGGAATGCTGATGCATACCATGGTGGTCCAACCTGCCCCTCCTTCTTAGGGATGCTGATGCATGCCATGGTGGTCCAACCTGCCCCTCCTTCTCAGAGATGCTGATGCATACTACGGTGGTCTAACCTGCCCCTCCTTCTCTCTTGAATAGGCTCTGTGAAAGGAAGAGAAGCCGAAGCAGTAATGAAGAAAGACGTGGCCAATTGTGTCACTTTCCCTTTGATAAGCTCCATTCTGCAATAAACGTCTTTTCCTTCCCATAAGACTCTCTCATTGTCTGGTTTGGAAACGAGAACATATCATTAACTATCCAATTTTAGATGCAAAACTAATATCAAAAGGATGCTAGGGATGGAGACTCAGAAAGTAGCTGTGTTTCACGTGTTTTCAGCCAACGTACAACAGTGGTAAATGCCTTGTTACTCAAAGCAAGGAGGCTCAAGCAGCCTGTTGTCTTTTCTTTTAAGTTACTGTGGTGACTTTTAGGGCAGTAAAATTCTTCCAAATGATACTGTCAAGGTGGCACATGGCACCACTTGCTCTTGAAGTCCCAGAGAATGAATGAGGCAGCAAATGCCCATGCAGTGTGATGGAGTGGACACAGCAGCCCGGGTCAGCAAGGGAGCAAACACCAATATTAATAATAATAGTAATAGAAGCTGCTGGTAACAGAGAACAGCCTTTGGTGAGAGAGCAGGTCACTTTGTGTCCTGTTTCTGCAGGCCCCAAACAGCTCGAAGAATGAAGTTTAGTAGGCTGTAGAGATGGCTCAGTGGGTAAGATTGCCCAGTGCCTAAGCATGGGAACCTGAGTTTGAGATGTTGTCTCAAGGAAAGGAGGCAGAGAGTCAGAAATCCTCTGGCTTCTGCACATACGTGTTTTTACAAATAAAAAAATCCACCCAGGGGCTAAGGCATAACAAGTATTGTGGTCAACCACTGTCCCTACTGGAGTCCCCCCCCCCCCAACTGTTGCTTTCCCTTTGGGTTTCTTTTTTTTTTTTTGGTAGCAATGACATCTATTTATTTATTTATTTATTTATTGATGTATTTATTTATTTATTTATTGTGTATACAATGTTCTGTCTGTATGCCTGAAGGCTAAAAGAGGGCGCCAGACCTCATTACAGATGGTTGTGAGCCACCATGCAGTTGCCCGGAACTGAACTCAGGACCTTTGGAAGAGCAGGCAATGCTCTTAACCACTGAGCCATCTCTCCAGCCCTCCTTTGGGTTTCTTATCTAATAAATCAGCTGCAGAATGAAGCATCTTTAAAGCAGGCATCCCAAGAACCCCACTGCCAAGGAACCACCCAGGGAATGGGGCTATAACAAAGCTACCTGTTCCGGATACCATTCACAATTGGGTGTAGGTTTGTGTGTGTGTTACATATATGTATGTGTGTGTGTGTAATCAAGAAAGGGCATCCATTCCACCATTCAGAGGTTAGTATGCTAAACACAGCCATGTTTGCCCATGATGCTTTAGAAACTGAAACAAGAGAATCATAAGTTTGAAACCAGCTTAGGCTTCACAGTGAGAGCTTGTCTCAAACAAAGATGGAGTTGTGCCTTCCAACAACTGAAAGTCAAGACGTTATAAAGAAGTGGTTGTTACGCACAGTTGCCTGTCACAAATAATGTGCTTTAACCTTGCCCCCTACATGTATTCTGTTCATGGCATTTGCTCAGATACAGACATACTATACTTCTAGACTGAAGAATTCAAACAAGGTGCTGGGGAATGGCAGTGGTCTGGCAGGGATGAAGGTATTCTAAAGAGACAACTGTGAAACAAGGAACTCCAAGGAATCTCACACTGGGAAAGGGAAAAGGCTGAATCCAGAAACCAGCCCAAAAGAAAGTTACTTTCCGGAAAGAGATTTCACACCCTTGTGGTGCGGGAAGTCCTTCTGTGTATGTGTTGCTTTTACTGGTTAATAAATAAAGCTACTTTGCCTGCATTGGGGCAGAAGAGAGCAAGGCGGGAATTCCAATCACATAGAAGAGAAAAGAAGGCAGAGTCAGAGAGATGCCACGTAGCTGCTGAAGGAGAATGACTTCTACTGGTAGGCCACAGCCTTGTAGTGATATGTATATACATATTAATAGGAATGGATTAATTTGAGATGTAAGAGTTAGCCAGGAATATGTCTAAGTCGCTGGCTGAGCAGTGTTGTAATTAATATAGTTTCTGTGTGTTTATTTCGGGCCTGGGCAGCTGGGAAACAAATGAGCAGTCTCTTCCTCCACCTTTGCATTCTTGGAACACCTCCATGAGTTGATCATATTTCTGTGTTGTTTTGCTGTTCATTTTGTTTCATCATCTCCCCAATGAGGAAAACTGGACTTATCCCCTTTTTAGATAAGACAGTTTTTTTTCTTTTTTGGAAAATGTCCTGCATTCATATTGTATTCACATCTTTGCCTCCTTCCTCTCCTCTCTTCAGCTCTTCCCACATCCTCCCTACTCCCTCTCAAGTTCACGCCCTCTTCCTCTTTATTTGTTATTGTTATATAAGCCATTTAGTGTCACTCCTTTGTGTCTGTGTTTAGGGCTGACCAGTTGGTATTGAATAACCTATCAGGGGGCTAATTCTTGTTTGTCTCTCTGTCTGTCTCTCTCTGCAACCATTAATTGTCTATGGCTCTTCATCTGGGTGGGGTCACCTGTCCACACTGACACAGCAACTGATATTGTCATTGTGCAGCTCTTGTTTAGGTGACCATATCATTATGATTTCCTGGGTGCAGCTTCTCTGTCCCATATAGAAGACACCGTCTCATAGCAACCATCCTGGTCTGCTGGCTCTTATGATTGGCCCATTCCTCTTCAGCTGTGCTTCCTGAGCCTTTGATGCAGGGGTCGAGTTGTAGATGTATCTGTTAGGGTTGGGCACTCCACAGCCTGCTGTTCTTGGCATTTTGATTACTTATGGCTTTCTATACTACTTTCCATCTGGCTACTAAAGGAAGCTTCTTTGATGAAGGGGGGAGCTACACTTGTCTGTGTGTGTGAGGATGGTTTTAGAATGGAATCAGAGATTATACATGCACTCCTGCTTCATTTACAATGCTCTCTCCAATGATGATAAATAATAAACTCTCTCCTGCCTCTAAAGTCGAACCCAGTCACTCCCTCGGCGTCAGTAAGCTGCTGCACTCTGGGCCCACCAAACGTCTTATCTGTACACACCTATGCAGGGCGTGAGTGATTCCATCCATGGTCAAGTAGGGGAAAAGCTGCACACAATTTAGTTATTAATTTACCTATTTTTGTAATTTGCTAATCTTTAAATTCCCCACACATTTCTTCCACGTCCCTCTGTAGAGGACAGCAACAAAGACACACAGCTGTGAAATGGCTGGCCCTTGCTCAGCCATTGTCATTGGTCCTGGAGAAAGCTGGGGACGGGGCCGTGAGGAGCATCTGTAGGCAGAACTGTTTGACCCCCGGGAGCAGGTGCCTTGGGAGAGGAGAGCCAACAACCCCATGGAGCGCACCTAAATACATAGCTGAGTATTTCAGGCCTTCTTAAAGGGATTCTCTCTTGGCTCTGACCTCAGTCGAAACCACAGTGCAAGACAGTGACAACCGTCTCCCCCCAAATGTTATTGTTCCGCCATAAGGCTTGCAGCAGAGAAACTCTGGCTTTTCTTTAGGGGCAAGTGTGATGGAAGTCACCTGACAAAAGTGACTTTTTTTTTTTGATTACAGAATCAACAGTTGCATCAGGTGTGGCACCCTTGCATTCTTTGGAGGTCCTGGGAAAACACACCCAACTTTGTAGACAGTGTTTACACTCTTGTCAGTTCACGTCTGGGAATTACCAGCTGCCCAGAGTTCAAATGTTTAGTGCTTTTCTTGTGTTCCTTGGCTGGAATGTCTCAGTATGGCCTGTTGACAACATGCCATGTGTCATAGCGTCCCTCTGTCACCTGGGTTCCTCCTGTGGGGAGAGCTGGCTATTGGCCCCCAGCCTTTTGAAGGCTCCTCGGCCTGGATATCAGTCAAGGTCTTGCATTTGGAGGGACCTTCCTTGACTTTCTGTTGTAGGTTGCTTTCCTTTCCAGATTTGCAGTAAGCAATGGAATTCTGATCAGGTGAATAATTCGTGTGTGTCTTATAATAAGGGGTCTCATTTCTTCAGTGGTTATGGGCTGTTGGTAGCCGTAGAGAATGTATATAAGGAAAATGGAATGTCTTAAGGTAAGAATTATTCTGTGGGGTGCTGCCTTCTGCAGATGGGGTCCAGGTCTAGTCTAGCCCTTCAAAGTGAAGCTAGGGTTAAATCTGAATAAAGTGACTGATTCTGAGTTTTCAAGACTACATCTAGCTTCTCCTCCCCTCTCCTCCCTCTCCCTCCCCTTCCCTTCCTCCCCTGTTTTTCCCAGCATGCCTGCCACATTCGATGCTTTAGAAGACAGGAGAATCTGAGTGAGGGTGTGGTGTTTAAGCAGAGCCCACTGACCTTTGAAGTCTAAGCGCAGCCTGCAAGAGGTTGCTGTGTGGTCAAGGGCCCAGCCATGGTTGCTATGGTAACAGCTGCAGCCACCAGTCCAAGTAGCACATGATCTCTTGTTGGAGTGCATCCCAGGGGCTTACAGAATGACTCAGGGATAGGGGAGAACCAGAAATATCTTCGTCTGTCTGGGCGGCTATAACCAGATACCACAGACTGAGTGGCTTAAGTAATAGAAATTTATTTTTGTGGGTCTAGGTCTGGGAAGTCCAAGATCACGATGCCAACAGTTCCTGGTGAATGCTCTCTTCAGGGCTTGCAGATGGCTCCACACAGTGGAGAGCAAGCCCTGCTTCCTCATCTCCTTCTTAGAAGGACACCAGTCTGGCCCTCATGACATCATTTAAGACTGCTCACCTCCCATTAGCATCGCATGGGAGGAACACAGACATTCATTTCAAAACAGGCAATCATGGGGCTAGAGGGATGGCCCAATGGCTAAGAGCACTGACTGCTCTTTAAGAAGACTCGGGTTCAATTCCCAGTACCTGCTGGTTGCTCACAACCTTCTGTAACTGGAGTTCCAAGGGATCTAAGGCCCTCTTCTGGCCTCTGTAGTACAAGGCACACTGTGGTATACAACTAAACATGTGTACAAAACACCCAAACACACAATATAAAACAAGACAAAACTGAAAAGCAAAACCAAAAACCAAAACAAATCAACCAATAAAACAACAGAAACAGACCCTCATGAGACATGAGACTAATCAGATGCCGGAAGCTCTGAGAGCAGTCACC